GTGGGACACCCTGCAGGGAAGTGCCAATGGGGCTCAATTTTTGAGGGAAGCGCCTCAATTGAGGCGCCCAGCGAAGTGTCGGTTTTGGTTGGAGTTACGTTTTCTTTTCTAAAATGGAATTGTTGAAGCTGCAAACCCCAGAGTCCAGTCATGACTCATGAGATATCGCAGTGATGGTGGACTATGACTTGTCGCCGACGCAGACTTGGATCGAAGAACGGAGAACGGTGAGAACTGGACAGCTGGACAAGCACTGCTTGGACACGGGTTTTGTTGTTCTCGCGATTGGGTCCACCGTTCTTTCTCCCAAACAGATTGGCCTTCGCTTTCTTCGGTTTTCCTCTTCCCAAAGCCCAACCGCTGCAACAAGTTCATTCAAGAACTGGCGATTGTTTGGCGAACGGTTGGACTGTTGAGGGACCAGATGAGATTGAAATGTTTAGATCAAGAGGATTAGGAAAAATATTAGGATCAAGAGGATTTAGACCATGTAAATGTTGAGATTTCAGAATGTACAGTCACTGTTATTCATGGATTCTGAAAAAAGACCTAGGACCTAGGAGTGTCCATGTGAAGGCTTCTATACCTATTAATGTTAACACGTTCTCTATAAAGCATGCATCAATAATGATCTCCTTTTTGGCCCGCCAGAATTTTGAAATACTACTTTTAATTGCGCCAACATCCAGACCCCAAAATGGATAAAACATGTTCATTAGTCAATTGCAAACCACTACAATAATATTCTGCTTTTTGGCCTGCCAGAAATTTGCAATACTACTTTTAATTGCGCCAACAGAATGCTTTCAGAAGGCTTGCTCTTTTCATTGTGTCACAGAAATTTCAGGCTTCACTAAGAGAAAGCCAGTGAGAAACATCAACTCCCTCAGGCAGATTTCTGTCAAAAGACAGATTCCTGTGGGAATAGGCAGAACTAGTTTGCTGCCAGCTTTATTCATTAGAATGAAAGCAGAATGAACGCAATTGCAAGCAGAATGCAAGCAGAATGAAGGCAAACGCAAGCAGAATGAAAGCAAATGCAAGCAGAATGAAAGACCCTCTGCCAAATCCCCTCTGCCAGAATTTGGCTACCCCCATCATAGGGGGGGGGGTTCACTAATGAGATGTTAACATTACCGCCTTAGCTAGAGGATGCTTGGAAAGTGGCTCGCGCACCCCCATGGGGGTCCGAAGATAGCTTTTCCATCTCTTCGGCCACCGAGACTCTGGAGACTCGGCTCAGGTTGGTCGGGTCTGGGCTTGAGCCTTTGCTGGGGCCTCTTGGGCGCGTTGTTGGGCGTCTACGGTCTACTCAAAGGCCGTCCCCCGCGACGCGCGCGCGCGACGTCGCGCGAAAGCTTGACGGTGGGTGGGCGAGCCAAAGAGTGGTCCTGAGATGTCCTGGGCAGTGGTCAAGCAGCAAGAAAAGCTCACGCTCAGTTTCCAGAGATCAAAGGCTGTGGGTGCCATGCGGACTGGGTGCTGTGGGGAGTTGCCATGCTCAGCATGATTCCCTGGACTTGGTCTCACTTCAAGACTTAAAGACTCACACAGCTCAGTCTTCCCAAGCTTCCCACGTGCAAAGCAATTCTTTTCCTCAGACCATGATTATGTGTGGAAGAGTTGCGCCACCATTGTGGATGGGTCGTAATTGAGTGGGGTGTTCATGGTAAATGTACACTCCGACGAACACGTCACATGGACATGGAGTTCATCCTCTGTGCATCGAGCAAAATGGTCTTCGAGACGCCTGGCTGCCGCCTATGCCATCCACGTAACCATGTGATGCGGAGCCAGAGTGTAGGATCATATATGGGCTTTCACTCATCCGACCATCCTCTCTGATATTCCTGCTCATCATATGGGAGTGCAGGATGATTTGGGATGTAAGATCGCTCCACCGAGTCGAGTCCTCTTTGCGAGCTGTGGGGCACCCATAGATGGGTCAGAATTGGATATATTTGGACGGGGTACATCAGGATGAGTAAATGTATACCTAGAACCCAGACATCACCTGTTTTGACAGGAAAAGACCATATTTTGGGTGGTTGGTGGTCGAAAATAGAGGTCTCTCCGGGCTCCAGGTATATACTGTACAGGCATATATACCCTAGAAGTCCAGTTCGACTATATGTTGACCGGCTGAAGTAAAGGAAGTTCCCAAACTCAGGTTCCCTAAAGCTTAACCATTCCTTTTTATAGTCTGAGACCGACTCCCAGGGTATATATTATAGAGCTCATTCTAACTCTTCCAGTCCCATTCACGTCTGGCTTTGGAGAAAACCACGACTTCGCAAGGCTTGAAGTTGAGGAACCCCAAGATGCGCTACGGAGGCGATTTTCGTCGAGGGGATCGGTGGACGCCGGACGTTGAAGGTGCTGAGGGATCGGTGTTTGGAGCCACAAACACCAGAGATCTCGTGGAGAAGCTCTGCAGGTGGTCTTTTTTGGGGTCAGATACCAAGGTGCTGAGCACCAGTGAGCACCAGACTTGGGTGAGCTGTGGGGGTTGGGTGGGGTTGGCATGGAAGTTCGTGGTGTGGGTCATGATGTCATGAAATCGCCGTCTCGGGACGCGGCTTGTCAGATGCCTCTGGGCTCCAGGCTCGGGATGATGACGAGGCTCACATGAGTCGTCAGACTGGCAGATCTGCACAGATCTGCAGGCTCATGTGGCGCTGTTCTTCAACGAGGCATCATCTTCAGCCGTCTAAGGCGGAGGAAAGCAGGGCAGAGGTCGTTTCGGAGCTGTTGGACCTCTGTAGGAGCTCACCAGCGTTGAAGTCCGACGTTTTCAGGAGCTTGGCCGAGCAGAAGGAGGGAGAGTTGGCCTTTGCACTCTTGGAGGAAATCCGAAAAGATGGGAAAATCAAACTGAATGCTTCCAACTATACGGTGGGCATTTCATCTTGTGCCAGGTCCAAACTGACGCTGCATGCATTGAGGCTATTGAAAGAGATGCCAACGGCCAGGGTTCAGCTAAGTGTTATTAGCCACAATGCAGCCATCAGCGCCTGTGAAAAGGGCAGGCGGTGGCAGCAAGCATTGGAGTTGTTTGAGGACATTTGCCGAGCGGAGCTTCAGCGAAGTGTCTTCAGCTTCAGTTCAGCGATCAGTGCATGTGAAAAGGGCCAGCAATGGGTGGTAGCTTTGAAGTTGTTTGACACCATGCTAGAAGTAAAAGTCCAGCCAAATGTCATTAGCTACAACGCGGCCATCAGTGCTTGCGAGAAGGGCCGGCAGTGGCAGCAAGCTTTGCAGTTCTTCGAGGCGATTCCCAAGGCAAAAGCATTACCCACTGTCATCAGCTACAGTGCGGCCATCAGTGCGTGTGAAAAGGGTGCCCAATGGCAGCTAGCATTGACACTTTTTAGGGCCATGCTGGAGGCTAATGTTCAGCCTGAAGTCATTAGCTACAGCGCGGCCATAAGTGCCTGTGAGAAGGGCGGACAATGGCAGCAAGCTCTGAACTTATTTGAGAGTTTGCCCCAAAGCAAAACAGTACCAGATGTTAAGATGTACAACGCAACGATCAGTGCCTGTGAAAAAGGGGGGCGATGGCAAGAAGCCTTGACAGTGTTTCAGGCCATGCCCAAGGCGAAGCTTCAACATGATGTCATTAGCTACTGTGCTGCCATCAGTGCCATCGAACGCGGTGCCGAATGGCAGCAAGCGTTGCAGCTGTTTGACATCATGACTAATGCACATATTCAACCTGACATCGTTGCCTACAACGCCCTATTTGACAGCTTGGCCATTCACAACACTGAGCTTGGCCGATTGCTCTTTGCGCAGAGCAACGTACCAGTGCTGTTGGCTGTGCGAAGGTCTGTGGCGAGGGAGATCGACCTTCACAACCTCTCAGAGGGCAGTGTCCACTTGGCGTTGCTTCACTGGTTGTCAACTGCAGTGACCAAAGAGCTGGAGCAGCTGGCGCTGTCAGCTTCACACACCTTGGCGGAAAGCGGTTTCCCGCTTCACGCGGAACGAGCGGAACGAGCTGCTCACACGCACAACGGGCGCGACGCGGTGCTCACGCGGTGCAGCCTCAGCTGCATCATTATCACAGGCTATGGAAAGTCTCGCAAAGATTGGCAAAGAAGAAATGTACAACAGGCGGCCTTGAAGTTCTTCCAGGACCTCGAGCTCAATGCGTCGCCGTTGCCGGACAACCCGGGTCGACTTCATGTGGTTTTGACGCAGAGGGACCTGCCAGTACTGCGCGGTGTGGGTCGATTTGGCAGATGAATTCAATGGATGAAGGGATGCGCTGGCGGTTCGCCGCATGCCAGGCTTGCAAGACAGTCAGGCTCGCAGCTCGATCCTTCTTGAGCTGGAATTGAACAGCTGGAACCGACAAGGCTCGGGTGATTCGGAGGTGGGGCCTCGCACCGTTTACTTTCGACGTTTTGAGCTTTTTTGACCATTCTCGGATGCTTTGGCCGTAGAGCTGGGTGGGGGGTTACGTGACGCCACGCCACGCTGGAGCAAAATCGCAGGGGATGAGGCAGCTGGGGATGCTGCAAACCATCAGGTCAGTTACAACCACCTCAGAATTCCTTTCTCTTCTTTCTGGCAATCTCCCTGGAAAGGCTGAGCCAAGAGTCCTGAGGTGGGTATACGATCCCCCATGATATTCGGCCTAGAGAATGGGGCACGTTAACGTACATAGAAAACAGCCATTCTTTAGTCTCAACCAGGTGGACTCACTGAGAAGGGGTCAGGAGCTTCATTTTCTAGTGACCTGTAGGTCACTAGAAGTTGAGGATCACAGGTCTCATAGGCATGCTGGCAGGGTCATTTTCTAGACATCACCTTGTTTTCTTGATCCCACCGTCATCCTCATTTTCTAGTGGGGTTCCTCATTTTCTAGTAAACATGATGAATCATGATGATTCAAGACAGAGTTTAAGAGAAACATAACCAAAAGAAACAATATAAATTCCAACGTGCAACGCTCCTCTTCTTCCTCTCCTCAGCTTCCTGCCCTCGCATTGCTCCTTGCCTGTTCATCCTCTTCAGGATTGCGGCAACTTCTGCAAGGAACTGGCTAAAGAACTTCGTTGTGTCAATCTCAGTGTGTGTTGTTGGATGTCCCAACGTCTCCCACTACACCCAAACAAATCCTCAAACACTGCCATACCGAGGGCCATACCCTACCATTCCATTTCTGGCACTGGCCAGAAACGGAAAGGTAGGGTATCCAGCCAGACCAATTCACTAGAAAATGATGAGTTCCACGTCTTTAGGGTGTGTTCCCAATTTTCTAGTGGCTTTGGTGTCTCGACCAGTAGCCGGTACACAAATCCTCAAACACTGCCATACCTCACCATTCCATTTTGGGCACTCTGGCCAGAAATGGAAAGGTAGAGTATCCAGCCAGACCAATTCACTAGAAAATGAAGGGTTCTAGGTCTTTGGGATGTGTTCCTCATTTTCTAACATGCTCCTACCCTACCATTCCATTTTTGGCACTCTGGACAGAAATGGAAAGGTAGGGTATCCAGCCAGACCAATGCTCTAGAAAATGATGGGTTCCACGTCTTTAGGGTGCGTTCCCCATTTTCTAGTGGCTTTGGTGTCTCGACCAGCACCTGGTACACCCAAATCCTCAAACACTGCCATACCCTACCATTTCATTTTTTCACTCTGGCCAGAAATGGAAAAGTAGAGTATCCAGCCAGGATCCATTCGAGAATTTCTGACTAATTTGGAGTGGAGAAATCTGCTAAAAGAGTTCCTCGAGCAAATCCAAGTCGGTCGGGTCATTATGATCCGTCCAGATCGCCGGAGCTTGCGAAACAGTAAAACCATGTAAAGCCGCTGAACGTCGTGAGAACTTGCAGTAGATTACCACAAGGTTTACATTTATCACTGCGGCCTTGAATATTTTCAGCACATGCAATGTTTCGCCTGACTTGCTAGGTGATCTATAGCTCTTGGCCAGCTGAAGCGGCCAGGGCCCAGGTGTTCATCCAACCGCCTGGGAGGGGAAGCTTTGACATCACGTAGAAGCGAAGGGATTTTTCCCAGAATATATGTTCGACTTCTGTAGAATACTGTAGAAGAACAAATTCTGGTGAGAGACTTAGATTTAGTTGTCAACAATCCGGAAGAGTAATTATTCTTTTGTGGGAGAAGAAACATCCTAGGAGATGAGTGATCCCACGACACATTCTCATTTGATCTTTTCTAGTGATTTGGTCTGGCTGGATACTCTACCTTTCCATTTCTGGCCAGAGTGCCCAAAATGGAATGGTAGGGAATGGCAGTGTTTGAGGATTTGGGTGTACCAGGTGCTGGTCGAGACACCAAAGCCATTAGAACGTGTGGAACACAAGTACCAGGTGCTGGTCGAGACACCAAAGCCACTAGAAAATGAGGAACACACTGTAAAGGCCTAGAATCCATCATTTTCTAGTGAATTGTTCTGGCTGGATACCCTACCTTTCCATTTCAGGCCAGAGTGCCCAGAATGGAATGGTAGGGTATGGCCGTGTTTGAGGATTTGGGTACTAGAAAATGATGGGTTCTACGTCTTTACAGTGTATGAAGAGCGAAGATATACAAGCTCAGGCCCAGGTCTGATTGGCATCTGACAGACAGCTTTAGTGAAATCATGGCACCACTATGGCACGATTTCCATGGCCCGTCTGGCATGATACAGTATATGTCACTGCCATTCACTGCCCATCCGGCATGATACAGTATATGTCACTGCCATTCACTGCCCATCCTGATCATCCTCAAAGCAAGGTGGCACCACTAGAAAGCAGGATCAAAGCAGGATCCGCCAAAGAATGACGATCACACGTCAAGGCACCAGGGCATTCACTAGAAAATGCCGTGCGCTGGTTCAAACAAAAGATGCGTCGGTCACAGGTCTAGGAGGTGTGATCAACATTTGGGGTCATTTTCTAGTGATTCACTAGGTTATGCTGATCCAGGTCTATGAAGCTGCGTTCCTCATTTTCTAGGAAGCTGACATTCATCATTCCCCAGGAGATCACTAAAGAATGGGGAGGTCTGACCCCTCCATGTGATTAACAGGGGGGATGGTTTACGTGTTTTTCCTTCTTTGAAGGTGGCTGTTGGCGATGGACTCGAGTGACCAAGGTAGCCTCAGCTCACCAAGGTTTTACAGATGAGCCTCACATCCCATGTCTTTGCAAAGAGTCCAACATGTCGAAGGACCGATGATGTCTTAAAGGACCGATGTCCACTGGGGTGTCAGCTGCTTTCGTGGCGAATTGTTTTGATCAAAGGGAGTGAAAGTGCCATGGCAGGACGATACGGGTGTGTGTTTTGTTTTGATAGGGACAACCCCCAGAACGGACCAGCATGTTGGTGTTTTGACCCTCCGTGCTGCTGTTGCAAAGAGTCCCCAACCAATGGATTTTGGTCTATTGCCCCTCTTCCAGGGGGTCGAACTGGAAGGTCTCCCTACTTTAACGCACACCCATATTTTTGGTGTGATACCTGTGATCGGTTCTGAAGCGTCTCCCCACGAATGCGAGTCTTGCGTTGAGCTTCCCACGGGACACCACTTGGGAAGCTTCTCTTGGTTTGGGGAGAACTTTGCTGGTCTCCTTTCTTCTTTACCCACCAGTAGGACATCATGACATCATTCAGCTTTGCTGTTTTCACCAACAAAAAGGTTTGACTTATTTCAATCGCATGCACAACAGACACACAGTTTGCCTTCATAGGTCGTGGTCGATGCTCGCTTAGTTTTGCCTTTAATTGCCACCATCTATGGGTACTAAGCACACCAGTGAAGATGTGCATTTGTCGAGTCACGGCTACAAACCTGAACTCGTGATCATCATCTACTTCACTCTTCAGATGGTTTGGGATGCTGGCATCAGGGGCCACGCTCATCCTTGGTTCAGATTGTTTGGGATGCTGCATCGCTTCGGGTTTCGGGTTTTCTGTGCCGCATCCAGACTTACCCTAGCTGGTGTATCCAGCAAAAATCAAGAAACATATCCATTTAGTAGGACATTTGTAAGTACTTCACAGATGTTCATGTTCTTTCTGACATCCTTGATCACATATGAGAATGGCGTGCCATTCTTTCCCTCTTTCTGTGTTTCTGTGGAGGTTAAGGTGGTCTTTTTGCAGTACCTAGCCCCCCCTACCGGCCAGAAACGTTGCAGGGTCAACATATGTGCCTTCTTGGACAGAAATTCTCTATGTGGTCCTCATGCGGTGTGGCTCAAGGGCTTAAGGCATTGGTTGTGAGACTATAGCGGCTCATGAAACGATGAGAAGAAGAAGTGTTTGCTTTAAGCACCCACGATCCTTTCCTGAAGCTACAGATGAAGTATTGCTCAGGCTCTGTGGACAGGTGACCGAAAAGAATGTCTCTAGCGTGCTGCTGTCCGAAGTGAGACGCTCTAAGGAGAAGCTTGCGCATGTCTTGAAAGTCTTCCGAGAGCAAAGGAAGGGCGATCTGGCGTTTGCCACCCTAGAGGCACTGAGGGAAGATCGGAGCATCAAGCTGAACGCTTCCAACTACACACTGGGCATTTCAGCATGTGCCAGGTCGAAGCTGTCACAACAGGCGTTGAAGTTGTTTGAAAACATGCCCAGGGCCAAAGTACTGCCAGATGTCATCAGCTACAATGCTGCCATCAGTGCCTGCGAGAAGGGCGGGCTATGGCAGCATGCCTTAAGTCTCTTGAATGTCATGCCTAAGTCCAAAGTTCAGCCAGACGTTATCATATACAATGCGGCCATCAGTGCATGTGGGAAGGGCGGACAATGGCAAATGGCCTTGACGTTGGTTGAGGCCATGTCCAAGGCCAAGCTTCAGCCTGATGTCATTAGCTACAGTGCAGGAATGAGTGCCTGTGAGAAGGGCACACAATGGATACAAGCACTGAAGTTGTTTGGGGTGATGCCCAAGATAACTATCAAGCCGGACGCTATCATGTACAGCGCGACTGTCAGTGCATACGAGAAGGGCGGGCAATGGCAACAGGCATTGCGAATGTTTGAGGCCATGCCAAAGGCCAAAGCTTTGCCAGATGTCGTCAGCTACTGTGCAGCCATTAGTGCATGCGAGAAGGGAGGGCAATGGCAGCAAGCATTGAAGATTTTCAATGCCATGCAGGAGGCCAAGCTTCAGCCAACTCTAATCAGCCACAATGCAGCCATAAGTGCCTGCGAGAAGGGTGGACAATGGCAGCGAGCATTGAAGTTGTTCGAAGGTATGTTCAAGTTCAAAGTTCAGCCAGATATCATAAGCTACAATGCCACCATCAGTGCTTGCGAAAAGGGCGGGCACTGGCAGGAGGCATTGAATTTGTTTTTGGCCACTCACAAGGCTAAAGCTCAGACAGACGTCATCAGCTACAATGCTGCCATTAGTGCCTGTGAGAAGGGTGGGCAATGGCAGCAAGCATTAAAGTTGTTTGAGGCCATGCCCAAGGCGAAAGTCCAGCCACATGTCATCAGCTTCAATGCGACCATCAGTGC